GGGGGGCTGCCGAGGGTTTGTACCCTAGACCCCTTGAACCCTGGCAATCTGAGTATGTCAAATAGGCGGAGAGGGTTGGTGGAGAGGGAGTCGTTTGCATAGTGAAAGATCCATAGTCGACGTCGTTCCCCGAAGTACTTGATTGTCACGATGGGTGCCGGGTGCTGCACGATGCGGCACAAGGACAAAAGGGAGCGCTTCCAACCATCGGTGATCGAGCCAAAACCCCACCGAAACGCACAGCCCTCAATCTGTGTTTATCCATGGGTCTTGACGTTTGATGCCATTGGTGTGTTCACTCAGTTCCTGCACACCCTGGTGGTGACGTATTCTTCCCAGGTGGACTTCGTGCCGTACTGGATGGACTTCGCTCCTCTGTGGCCGGCCCGCAGCGACACTCCCAAGATGCTCGTGGTCGCAAACAGACAGCTCATACAGACATTCAAGTGAGTGCTGGAGAGGGAGGGAGGGAGGGAGGAGTCGTTGTGTGTGTCATGTGTTTTGATGCATGGCATGGACCGGCAGGCTTGAGTGCAATGGTGGTGACGAGAGCGACTTGGAGGACATGTCTGCCTGCCATCGGCGTGTGCTGGACGACAACGAGGGCCTCACCGCCATGGCCTTCTCGGACCCTGACAACTCCAGATACCTCATTGTGAGTGACCACTCACACACTCATAGGCAGGCACTCAGGAAAGGCGAGCGTGCTGGTCAATCGCTTGTCGTTCGTGTGTCAGTTGGGTGTGTCCGTGACGGGCGAGGCGAGTGAGAGCGACCTGGTGCCATCATCCAGCGTATCGACCACACCCTCAGACGAGGTACGGCTGCCTAACCCTCACTCAACATACAGACAGACAGAGATGCGCCGCGCCCTCTCTCTCTTTCCCCGACAGGTGCCCAAGACCGTTTACGTGCGTATGGTAGATTTGCAGAGCGGCCTGACCACGGTGAGCAGTCACGTGGGCCACAAGGCCGACGTCCGCTGCATCGCTGGGGGATACTTCCGCGTCTTCACGGCCGACGAGGACGGACACTGCTGCGTAGGGGATGGAACACCATACGCCACCCAACACCGTGCAGCACTGCCTCGTGTGTTGTGCGCGCGCGTGTGTGTGTGTGTGTGTGTGTGTCAGTCGTGGCGTAAGGAGCGCAGGCACAGGTCGTCCAAGGACTCCAAGCAAGGGGCGGCCGATCTGCAGACGGCCCATCCGTACACCCTGCAGCCACACGGCTCCAAGAGGCTGCACCAGGCCGCCATACTCGTAAGGGAGAGGGCATTCACACACACACACACACACACATACATACGGGCGGAGGGGGGATGTGATGTGTTCTGATATCACTTGCACCTCACCTTCCTCTCTGTTCTGTCTGTTTGTGTGCCGTGCGTGCAGCAAATGGAGGTGGATACGCAATTTCTCTACACTCTTAGCTCCGACCAGACTATTGGCATATGGGTACCTGACGAGTGTGATGGAGTCCGCTGTCGTATTTGTGCATCTTTCTTCCGCCCTTTGTTTGTATCAGCACGTGCGCGACATGCAGGCCCACACGCTGCTGAATGTGGTGGTGGGCTTCAACAGACAGCTGAGCGCACAGGGCCTGCTCGCAGACACGGAGGATGACCATGCACTAGGAGCGGCGGCTGTCTGCATGAAGAGGCACACCGACGCTGTCCAGGCGCCAGTGAGTGGACACACACACACACACACACACACACAGCAGAATGAAGGCAGGAGAATGGGTATGGTGTGGATGTTTGGGTGTGGCTATAATGGTGCGTGTGCGTGCGTGCGTGCGTGCGTGTGGCAGGTGACGCGTCGATCCCAGCTGGTGCGTCCCAAGTCTCGTTGGGGCTCCAGCAACGGCTCCTGTAGAGGACAGGCCTTCCCTATGGGCCCACTCTATGTGGTAAGAATGCGTCTTAGGTTAGCCGATGGACGAGATGATGCATTCCTGCACGAGTGAGTGGTGGTGTGTCTTCCTCCCTCAGACGGTAGAGACCAAGTTGGGTGACGGGTGGCTGTTGGTGTACTACCTGGACCAGAGAGAGCCCTCGCCCCACCAAACCGCGGCAGACGACGTGGGTGAACGGGCGGGCGAGTGGGGACGGGCAAGCCGCGTGAGAATCTTGAAGGGATGGATGTATGGATGGATGGGGCGTCATGCGTCTGTGTGCGTTGTCTTAGGATGAGGGCGAGAGCTGGGAGGAGGTCGACGACGCGTCGTCTTCGCCGGCCAGTGACACGGGCGCATCCCCCACCCTCCCACCATTCTTAGACAGTAGCAGCAGCGGCAGCAGCAGCGGGGCCACGGTCGGCATTCAGGTCGACATGGAATACGACCCCTCATCGGTCTCACTCGGACGGCCCAAACCCGCAGCCGCGGCAGCCGCTGACGAGACGCCATCCTCTCCCTCTCCCTCTCCCTCCGCCCTGAGGGACCACAGCCAGAAGAGCGTCTCCACCCAGGCATCATCTGCCGACATTGCATCCTCATCCGACCCATCGGTCCCATCACGCGACCGCTCATTCGTCCCCGGCTCGGCCACGTCGCGGCGAGTCATATCGGCGGGCAGAGAGGCCTCAGAGGAGCCGCCGAGCGACGCCCAGTCCTTCGATCGTGCGAGGCGTGTGCGGGGTCCGTTGCATGTGCCGGTGACGGACGACGATGTCAAGTGCCGTGCGCTGCGGGTGCATTCGGGCGCCATTACTGCCATGGTGTACGGCCCGTACGACAATGGCCCGGTCATCACTGCGTCGGAGGATAGGAGCGTTCGCGCATGGGTGGGCCCGTGACGGACGGACACAGATGGGATGGCCTCTCATCGGAGAGGCGTCTTGCGCATCTCCATCCATCCTCCTTGTGTCTGTTGGTTTGTGTGGTGTGTGGTGTGTGTATGTTGACTGACTGACACAGGAGGCTACCAGTCTGATGTGTCAGGGGTCTCGCGAAGATGCACTCGTCAGTCAGCCAAGAAACACCTGACTGATACTTACTGGACACACACTCCCTGCCTGTCTGTCTGTGTGCGTGTGTGCCCGTCCGTCCGTCCATCATTCATGACTGCCTGCAGGATCGGATCACGGCGATGCGCACCAACCCGCCGTTCAACATCATCACCTGCAGCCCTTCACGTATACGGGTACGGTACACCCAACCACCCACACAGCCAGCCAGCCACGCATCCACACACAGTAGTGCTGATTGATTCGTGTGTCTGCTGTGTCTGCGTGTGACCCATAACTATCAGTTGTGGACGTTGATCAACTCGAGGAGCCGTCAGTTTGACGTGACGGACGAGGAAATGGTCCGGCGCCGCGAGGCACGCGCCCACGGACACGGCGATACTAAGGGGGAGGGAGGGGCAGAGGGCGAGGGGGCGGGGGTGGATGGGGGGAGGCCCAAAAGGGATAGGCGGACACAGTACCTCCTGCACGACTGACTGACTTACTCCATCAGAGGCGGGCAGCCAGCAGTGCGTGCAGACGGTGTTCTTCTGTTGTGTAAAGGGTAGATGAATGCATTGATTGATTGTCCGTAAGACTCTCTTGATTAGCGGGCCTGTTGCCTAGGACAGACAAATCAGTTCAATCCCCCTTCCTCGTCCCTGCGAGCTCGAAAAAATCCGCCTGCGAGCTTAGCCAACGGAGAGAAGGCAAATCGCGGAAGTGGAGGCGTAGAAGGCAGAGATGCCGACACACGGCCTCGAAGACGAACAGCAAGAGGTATGGACAAGAGCGGTCCACACACATATGACGCGTGGTTTCTTCTTGTGCTGCCTGCCTGCCTGCTGCCTTGCTTGCGGAAGTAGCCTTGGTATCTTATCTGCCCTTAATTGCGTCCATCCGTACGCACAAGTGTACTGGCTCACACTTGCTGTTCGCTGCTTTGGTTTTGCGTGAGCTGCTTGTTGGCTGCGCAGCTTCTTCCTTCTTCCTGGGCCGAATGAACAAGTGAAAGGCTGTCGGCTGCTGACTGTCCATGGTATCCATGTACGCGTGTTCTTCTTCATGTGGGCTGAAAGATAGCGAAATATGTGTGGGTGGGTCGTAGCCAGCTATGAGTGAAGGTGACAGTCAGCTAATTCTGTGATCCGAACATTCATGCGCACATACGGAGCGGCATGCATGCATCTTCACACACATGACGACACACACACATGCACAGACATCCCCTCAGTTGTTTTCTTTCTCTCTCCCCGTGTCTGTTTGCATGGTGTACGTGTCAGGCGGCTCACAAGAACAGCCTCAACCCATTGCACCACCCCCCCCACCACCCCATCGCCCCTCAGCACTTCGTCGACGGCACCCCAGATGTGCCCGACAACATGGTCGTGCACGTCAAGGACTTCGTCGAGCAGGCACCCACGACGCCCCTCGCACGCACCAACTCGTTCGGCCAGATCGTCCGGAAAGAGGAGCCCCTCTCCCGGACCACACAGTCCGGCCCCCCGCCCCCCTCCCTCTGGGCCGACTTCCCGGCCGCCGACTACGTCACCATTCTGACAGATGACGGCAAGCAGTTCCACCCGACGGTGCGGCAGCGGGTGCTTCACAGCGAGAGCGAGACGGTCTACGCCCTGTGTCCCTTGCGCGACACCAAGCTGCAGATCACGGAGCACTGCATCCTTCGCACGCCGGGTGTGCTGGAGTTCGGCGTCCACTTCCGGGCCGTCGAGACGGTGCGATTCTCGTTCAACCGCGAGGTGCGGGTGGAGGGCCAGCACGATAAGTTCAGCGAGTGCGACTTTTTGCTGCCGGGGCTGTGGTACAAGCACAACCTCGTGGCGGGCATGAGCGACGAGACGCAGAACATCGTGCTATGCCCCAACCCCGCCACCAACAAGATGCTCTCGTCGTTCGCCTACAACCTCTACCCGAGCGTGCGCGTGGGGACCTGCTGGACGGTGCGGGAGGACAAGGTGGCGTACCCGGTGGCGGCCGTGTACCACCGCAAGAGCGGCGAGTTCACCTTCATCCAGCGGATGGATGTCTTGGAGAAGGACTCGCTGCTGCCGGGCTTCCCCAGGGGCGAGGTGGTGCTCGAGGGCGACACAGACATCGGATCACTCGGCTTCAAAAACAACAATGGCAGCCCTTCGCTGGTGCTCAACTTCCCTTGGTCAGCTCAGCTCACCTGAATGACCCCCTGTGCTGTCTTCACTAAGCCATCCATCAATCCATCTGTGTGTGTGTGTCTGGCAGGTATGAGCGTGACTTCGCGTATCAGCGTAAGGGCACCATTTTGCCTCTGGAGGAGCAGGGTCCCGTGCAGTCCTTTCTGGAGCTCAAGGCCGGCGAGTCCAAGACCGTCAGCTGGCGGCTCGTCTACGGCAGGTGCGACAGCTACCACGAGCTCGTCTGCACCACCTGGGAGGCGTCATACGCACACCTGCAGCCCAAACTGGTGCCCACATCCCTTCTCGATGACGAAATACTCGACCTCCTCTGCCACTACTTCGTGTACTCACTCACGGCCACACACACGGCATGCTGTCTGTGTGTGATGTGATATGTGTGTGTGTGTGTTCAGGGATTCGTATCTGTCGACACCGACGCTGCACGGCTTCAAGTGCGTCAACATGAGCCCCCGCACGTGTGAGGTGGTCGAGGAGGACGTAGCCTTTGAGGTGGGCTTCGTGGGCCGGGTGCTGATGAATGCCACCAACTGCTACACCTACGGCCAGAAGAAGGGCCGGCAAGACCTCATCGAGATCGGCACCAGCGTCCTCACCTCATGGTTCGAACACGGGTTCACCGAGAATGGACTTCTCAAGGTGAGTCAGTATAGTATAAGTAGCTGGTGCCCGTGTCATCATTCTGTGTGGTTCTTTGTGTTGTCATGTGTGGCATGGCCGGCTGCAGGAGATTTTCCACGCCAATGAGCAGCAGCAGGTGGAGCTCTTCACCAGCCGACGGCAGGGAGAAGGTATGCTGACCCTTCCCCCTCCCCCTCCTCTCACCCACACCCACCAGGGACACCAGAGACACCACAGACACACACTCTTCCTCTCTCTCCTGTGCTGCATGCCATTCAGCTGCCTTGGCGTTGATCCAGTATTTGGAGTTTGAGCGTCACAGCTGTCGGCCGCCCCCGGCCGAGTACGAGAGCAAGGTGAAGCGGCTGTTGGAGACCTGCATATCGCTGCAGCAGGTGGACGGCAGCTTCCCCCGGGCGTTCGACAAGAACCTCGCCATCAAAGACGCCAATGGGGGCGGCACCTCCTGCATGGTCCCCGCTCTCATCCACGCCTTCAGGTCGTTGACCGTTCCCCCTCTCGATGGATGGATGGATGGATGGGTGGGTGTGGCATGCCGGCAGGTATTTCGATGACCCCAAGTATCGCGACATAGCGATTCATGCGGGCTACTATATTGTGAGTGAGGTGGTGGAGCAGGACAACTACACCTCGTCCACCATCGATGCCAACTGCCCTGACAAGGAAGCCGCAACATACGCCGCTACGGCCATGTGGTACCTCGCAGGTCGGTCAGTCACACCCAACACACACACACACACACACACACAGAGAGAGAGAGAGAGAGGCTTTCGTGATGGCTTGTGTGCTGTGTGTTCAGGTGTGACCGAGGTGGAGCAGCTTCGCCAGCGGCTGACCAAGGTGGCGGCCAAGGCGTGCGACTTTGCCCTCAGCTACTTCATGCTCTACGACACACCATTCGCTGCAGGACACATACTCAAAGACCAAGTGACATGACAGACACCATCCACCCCACCCACCACACACACGAACACCACACCCATCTGTGTGTCTGTGTGTGTGTGGTGCAGGTGCCGCCCCACGGCCTGCACACCCGTGGGTGGGGCTTGGTGTCTAGCGAGAACAACCACATCGACTGCTATGCCTTTGACTTCCTGGATGTGCTGCGCTGGGTGGGCGACGAGGTGCGGCCGGCCAGCCAAGGGTGGAAGTACCACACGATGGCCAACCTCATCGCCAGCAGCCTCAGGGAGCAGCTGCTGCCGAGGCCGGGGCGCATGTGCGGCATTGGAAAGGTCAGGCCTATAACACACACACCACACACACAGAGGGAGGGAGGGAGGAAGGAGGAGCCATCCATCCATCCATCAATCCATCCACCCACCCCTGTGTGTGTGTGTGTGTGTCTTCAGGTGGGCTACATGCCGGAGGTGGTGCAGCAGACGTTGTGGGACTACGGCAAGAACGGCAAGGGGACGTACAACTACTTCATGGCCTTCGGGTGGCCGGTGGCGTCCATCTGGCGCATGCTAGAGCGGCGCGTCTTCGGCTTCCACCCCGACCTCCTCCCAGCAGACCACCCACACGCACCGCCACTCGCACGCACCTGACTCACCTGACTCACCAGTGGGACGGAGGGAGACAGGGAGGGAGGCAGGGAGGGAGAGTTGGAGTGGGATGCATGCCTGCAGGTTCTCCCGGTTTGTTTTTTGTTTGGCAATGCAATGAAGGTCGTCGGGTCGGTGGAGGGTTTTTTGCTTGCTGGCTTGCCTGCCTGCCTGCCTGCTCGCGCCAAACATGTGTGTGGGTATGCATGCGTCTCAAGCCGCTGCGCGTTCGTGTCGTGAAGCGCAGCCCTCCGTCGGTCTGTGTCGGTCTCTCGCAGCCAGCCAGCAGGGGTTTTTGCTATGTCGGTCGGGATGTGTGGAGTGACTGGGTTGGGGGTGGGGCGTGTTTGTTGTGTCTGTGGTGAGTCTGCGAAGGAAGGCCGCATGTGCGCTGAACGTGCATCAGATCATGCACGCCTGCCTAAATGCGCGGAGGCCGGTGGGGTGGGTGGGTGCGGTTTGTTTGTGTTGCTGTATTGCTCTGTTTCTGTGTCAGTCAGGTCAGGTGTGATCTACTGGTGTGTGTGGTGTGTGTGTACATCAATCAATCTGTTGAGTGAATGAATTAGCTAGGTGCACCCACTACCGAAGACAGACAGACAGACAGACGGACAGACATCTGTCAAAGTGACAGTCACTCCATTGTACAGTCAGAGTTAGTTGATTGAATCCAACACAAGCCTCACTGCATTCTCAACGTAGACCGGACAATGCAGGGGTCTGGGGAGACCGAGCAAGACAAGCCCACGCACAAGGAGATGAACACATGCCTGGGTCCATGGAGATGACCCACACACGCGTACACCTCGATCGCCTCAGGCTCGTCCTGCCCTGCCCTGCCCTGCCCACTCACAAACCAAAAGAGTCAGTCAGTCCGTCACATCATTCGACAGATCGATCAACGAACACACACACGGGTCAGCCCTTCCTCCCTCCCATTCACTGCGCAGCACTGATGCTCTGCGTGTGGCTGCCGCCATCCAGATCCACCCATCCGCCATCATCGCCCCCACCACTACCGCCTTCCTGTGCACCACTCAGGCGCAGCGGTAGTATCGCCTTGGTGTGGTTCCAAGGCCCCCCCGTCACCTCACTGCTAATGCTGCTGCTGCTGCCAATGGTGGGATGATGCACCTGCATACGGAGTGGGGGGAAAGATACACAGCATACGTGGCTATACTGCTGTCCGTTGCGGTGACTTACCGCCCCGCCTGTGGTGGGTCGTGGGTGTCCCTCTGTGTCGTCATAGAACTCAATGGCATCACGTGAGTCGATGCCCAGCTGCCGACACAGCTCCTACACACACACAGCAGCACAGCACAGCACAGCACATAGAGCGATGATCTGGCTCCCTTGCTACCGTCTAGCTACATGGTAGACTGCACAGACACCAGCGTAGGTACCTCAAGGTGCTGGTGCTTGGCCCATGACTTGAGCTCATTTCTCCTGACGCTCACCAGCAGTGACAGCTTCTCCATCGCCCACTCCTCGCGGAAGTGCTGCGTGACGAACAACCGCAGCACGCTCACCAGGTCGTCGGCACTCAAGTCGCCCGCCCGCTGCACCAGCGACCTGCAGAGGTCCCTCGGGGCCGCCAGGTCGAGTGCAGTGACGGCCTGCAGCGCCCTTGCCATCTGCTTGGCGGTCCCCTCCCCCCTCTCCCTCTCCTCGACCCCATGGCCATCAGGGTAGGGGTAGAAGAAGTTCCGTACCAGCTCGCCGCCCAGCTGGGCCACCAGCTCTTCCATCGTCCTCCTCTCGTGGCCGCAGAGGCCGATGCGGCCCTTGGGGTCACTCCAGTGCATCTGGAGGGCACGAAGCGCGGCCGTCGTGGCGTCGAGAGAGAGGTACTCGCACACCAGGGGAGTGTCTGTGTCGGTGTCTGCGTGGGTGGGGTGGCCTGTGTGGGGAGAGGGGGAGGGAGTGAGGAGGTGGGCGGCGATCTCGCGGTAGAGGTCTTCGCATTCGGCTGGGGTGAGGGCGTCTTGTTGCTCTCCGTCTTCCTCGTCAGCTGTGGCCTGGTCGCGGGCCTTGATGACCTCAATCATCAACGCAGGCAGCAGCTCGGCACGACACGCTGACACCACACACACACACACACACACGCAGAGAGAGAGAGAGAGAGGGAGAGAGAGGGAGAGATCACACAGAAAGATCTCGCACACCGACAGCAAGGTCACCTGTGACATGTGGCCTCAATTGTCGCTGCCACTGGGGTCTGGCAGAGTCGGCCGGGAAGGAGCAGATCGCCTGCACCAATGCGTCTGCGGGCGCCTCGGGCAAGATCCGCATCAAGCCCCCATAGGTAGCACAGGCGCTCTCCCTATCCAGCAACACATCGCTCTCGCCACCCTCCCCGCCTCCTTGGCTGCTGGCGGCCGCCGACTCCAGCAACGACGGCTCCTCTTGGACAATGCGTCTGCCGATCTCAGTGCCCTCAGCTGGTGGGGGCGCCTCGACACGCATCGGCCGATCCTTCACCGTGACTTTCGTCTCGTCAGGTGCAAAGGACGCCTCGTTGCCGTCACCTCTGTTCCTCTTGTCGCCACCCTCTCTCTCCCAGGCAAACTCCACCTGCTGCGGGGCCTTGCGGACGGTGTGCTGCTGCTGCTTCCTCGCCGGTAGCTCGCCCCACATGTCGGATTTTGGCTCCTCAGATGCCGCATCTTGCTCCGGCTCCTTCTTTAGGTGGGGCACCGGCCATGTGCCCCTCGGCTGCTGGTTACCATGCTCGCCCCACGCACCCCTCCCTGGCCCACCGCCGGCGTGGTAGAGGTCCGGCCGCTTCAGCCGTCGCGGCTTGGTGCCACCAGACGCCAGCGAGCTGTCTGGTGGGTAGACGAGGAAGTCGGCCGTGGCGTCGGAGAATGTGTTGCACTGGTCGACGAGACCTGCCTCTTCCGACTTGTACTGACGGATGGGGCGCGGAGAGGGCTGCAAGGGAGACGGCGGCTCAGTGGCGGGGGCGGGGGCGGGTGGGATTGGGATGGGCGTCTTGGGAAGGAGGGGTGGGTCACCCGCCTCCACTGCTGACAGCCACGAATCTGCCAAGAAGCATCCGTAGACATGCACCGACCGATTCATGGTGAGTGTCTGGCTGTCTTCCGTGTGTGAGCCTGTGTAAGTAACCTTCATCTGGAAACATGCCTTTGACCACTTTATCGACAACAAGCCATCCAGCAGGGGCCATCGCACCCCTAACACCCTCGCCATCGTCTCCCAGCCGCTTCACAGACGGCACCACCCCCTCCCCCACCACACACACCCCTCGCCCCTCGTCGCTCCCTCCTTCCTTCATCCTCACCCACGCCCAAGGGTCATAGTTCACCCGATGCAGCCCGAGTGCGCGCAGACACCGCACCACGCCGGCCTTGAAGTCCAGCGCCGCACATGCCAAGATGCATCGGAGGAAGAGCGTGTCGTCCATCTGTGTGCGGTCGGCGAGGGCGTCCCCGAGGTAGGTGGACGCGGGTGATGAGAAGGACTGCATGATGGCCGTAGTCATGAAGGCGTCGGGGTTGCCGCTGGCAGCGTAGCTCTCCAGCATGCCGACCCGCTCCTCGATGAGGGTGGACCGCAGTTTGTGCGGCACGGCGGTGGCGGCCGTCTCCTCCAGAAGGGTGTCGCGATACCCAGCCGTCTGAAGCGCTTGCAGGATCTGACAGACAACCGTCCATCCGTCCGTCCCCCCATGTGAAGTGAAGCATCAGCCCGGCCCATTCATTGGTGCGCTCACTGCACTCACTGACCTGTCCAATTTCCTTTGGTTTGAGGTGTCTGGGTGCCCGTATGACCATGAACGACAGCCGGCGGTAGAAGTTGAAAGCGCGGTGTCGCATGCGGCTGAATGATGACAGCAGGGAGGGAATGTGGTCGAGTGGGAGCTCCAGCAGACGGGTGGCGAGGTGCTCCTCCAGCGTCATGGCCAGGTCCCGCTGGTGACACCCCAGGCGAGATAGGGACTCGGCTATCGCCACCACCTGACACACACGGACAGGGATCATGGTGTGTGAGGATGGTGTGGTGTGGTGAGAAGGTTTGGTCACACACATCATCCCTACCTCTGGCACTGAGAAGTGTAGGATTCCGAGCTTGACCTCCTCCGCAATGACATTGACGAGCGCCTCATCGACGATGTTGAGCCGACTGAAGGCCCAGGCCACCTGACACAGCTCCTGCACACACACACACACACACACACATGCCCGCCCCCGCGACACACAATGCAGTCAGTGCAGAAGAACTGTTGTCTGTCTGTCTGTCTGTCTGTCATCTTTTTCCCCCCCACACACAGACCTGTGGCGGGTAGGTGTTTGACTTGTCGATGACCTCTCTGGCGACGGCGTCGAATAGGTGCTTGCGGTAGATGTCCACCTTGGCGTAGTGGAAGGCCACCGATGCCACACCCTTGGCAGCCATGTGGGGCAGTCGATGGAGCAGTTCCTGGGCCAGCACATCGAAGAGCGGCTCATGGCGGATCCCCAGCCGCCCATATCCCGCCACAATCACGGCCATGTCGGTGTGCGTCAGCTCCGTAGCCTTCAGAGCAATGTACTTGGACAGGACGTTGAACAGCTTTGGGTCTGCATGGCTGCCCTTGGAGAAACCGATGACGGCACGCGCGAGTTCCTTGGTCTTGAGTGACGAGGCGAGGTCCATGAGTGCAGTGGAGCAGCGCTTCCAGAAGTTGCGGTTGGAGAGAGTGAGCTGGCCGGCGGTTTCGATGGTGTCGATGAGTTGCCCGGCCTCCATGTGGTGGATGGGGGTGCGGACGAACGTCTGGTAGGGGATGCGCTGGGGGTTGACGGTCTGCTCGTACTTGTCATACTCCGACAGACGCTCCCGCTTCTTGGCGAAAGATCTCCCCTGATGCTTCACAGATGCGGCTGCGGGCAATGAGTTTCTCAAGGCAGGCGGCCTTGCAAAGGCCCTGTTTGGCAGCATCTTCCTTGAGTTGAGCCAAGCTTGCAGGTGGAATCCATGAAACTGCTCACCCGGCTTGTTGAGAAACCAATTAGACTATAGCCGAGGTTATCCATCTGCAGGCCGACAGATCATTTCCTCAACACCTCCCTTCGGACCGCAGAGTTAGGGTACCCCCCTTTCCGCTCCTGCCTTTCCAAGGTTTCCGGTGTTGCTCCAGGAATGGAACTCGCGACCCCTCCGCAGCTGCTCAACGGGATTGTTTTCCGCCCGGCTTGACTCCTTTAGGGTGCTAACCGGGGTTCGAACCGAGGTCAGTGGGCACATGACCTGTTGAGAAACCAATCAGGCTATAGCCGAGGTTATCCATTTGCGGGCCGACACATCATTTCCTCAACACGGCTGAGGGCGATCCCGTTCATTTTTTGAGCAGTAGGCCCCCTAACCAAGAGCGTCTTACGCACAATGAGTGCGTCCATCCCTTTACAGAAGAACACCGCCGCAGTTATCGCCGAACGTCAAGATTGACCACCAGCCCTCCACTTGAGAGAACGCTCAGAGACACAGCACACACAACATCGACTGCACAGGTCCTCCATGTGTCCATATCTGATGCATCCATGCGATAGACACATGGGCCATGGGTCAACTCATACAAGCACCCACTCCTCTACAACCATCACGATGCGCGTGCACACGAGGGGCTGCTGCGATATCACGACTGACTGGATGATGGGCGTAATTGTCGCCGTGCTTCTTGCGTGCGCCCGTCGACTGCCGTCCACGGGCGCACGCAAGAAGCACGGCGACATAATGGATGGATCGACGCCCTTGCTTGACCCATCGGGGTGCATTGCATGGAGGGCTGGGATGGATGGATGGACTACAGTAGGAGAGGGAGAGTAACAGGCCTGCCTGAGAAAGAAAGCAACCAAAAGCCAAGGAGAGGCTGTGCTGCTGGCAGCCGACTTCCACGTCTTTCTTTCTTCACGCACATGCGTGCCGCTGGAGATAACCTACGACGGCCAGGAGTGCTACTGGCTCGACCCGCGGCGCGACGGCAAGGCGGACGGCCCGGGCACTGTGGTGACGCGTGACTGCGAGAAGAAGCTGTACGTTGGCGACATGAGGGAGGGGGTGCCGCACGGCCGGGGGATGCACACCGAGGACGTCTCTGACGCCCACTTCTGGTACGAGGGCGGGTGGAAGGAGGGCAAGATGCACGGCAAGGCGGAGGTGGAGCTGCAGGAGTTCGGCATTGAGGGCGAGCACCCCCCCATGCGTGCGACGCTCTTCAGTGGCGAGTTCGAGGGCGGCACGGCCACGAAGGGCACCCTCTTTCCTGGCCCCCCAGTGGCCATCCCGCTGAACGTCAAGTGGGAGGCTGGCGGGAAGCTCGATGACGCCGCACGTGGTGAACTGTCCAACATGTATGAGAGACGGAGTAACGATGATCTGCCCAACTGGCTGCCTTTGTTTCCAGCCGACGACGACGAGTAGAGATGGATGACACGTCGTCATCTGACACGTGCCAGCCATCGGATTTTGCCCCACGGTGCCCCGCCACACCCGCCCCACTATGCCTGCGTCTCTTTTCTATGGAATGTCCGGCTGGCTGGCAGCATGACAGACAGTGTTTCCACCTTTGCACACTGGCTGGCCCCCCTTCTCCAATGGCCAACGCACCCGGCCTTCCCTCGAGTCAGATCGCTCTCATGTGCCTTTCATGTCGACAGACAGAGGCGTGAGTCCACCTGCATTGATTTGATCGCATGTGTGTGTGTCGGACGATACGTGGCGGATGCGATGCGCGTGGCGACTGTACAGAGATGTGGGCTGTCCCATGGCATGATGGGGCGGAAGGCTTGTCCCATCCAAAGGGTGGGCTCACGACTGTCTTGCTGTCCATTTGTTGATGGATGGATGGATGGATGGGCCGGCGGGGTGCGAAGCGTGTACGTGTGAGTCTGCCCGTGTGTTCGTGTTCGTGTTCGTTTTCGTGTGCTTGTGCGTGTGTGTGATGACATTTTTGGTCCTGATGGATGGATGGGCGCGTGGCGTGCAGACACACCTGCTTCATTTCCTGCCTCCGTGACATCTGTGCATGTGTGTTTATAATGGTCAATTTGCATTCATGTGTCTCGTTGAATTGTCTTAAACGTCAGTCGAGCAAGACCGTCAGCCCATCCATCCGGTCCAAGCAAGCAGCCAGTCAGTCAGTCACACCGCCACCCATACACACATATCAGCCAGACCAACCAAGAGGGCCATCCATCCATCCATCCAGTCTGCCTGAGGTATCATTAGACCCCATGCCATGCCAGGGCCATGTGTGTGCTCTTAACAAGCGAGAGCGAGTAGTGTTGGAATCCCCCTCCCATCTAACCACACCATCCGATTCAATTCGATTCTCCCTTCTAGAGCTCGCCTGCCTGCCTGCCTGCCTGCCTGCCGTGACACGTGTGATGTCATGGCTGACTAGCCCTCCTTCTCGCCCTCTCAAATCTCTCTCTCTCTCTCCTTCTCTCTTGGCAGTGCGATCCGTCACAGGCTAGCTACCCCCCTTCTCTCTCTCCCTGTAATCGATACGATCACCAACACACCCACACACGCGCGCACACATACGCATGGCAGCGGGATCATGAAAGAAAGTATGCACACCCTTTCCACCCACCCACCCTCTGCCCCAACCCCGCCGTCCTGTCCTTAATTCTGCTGCGATGCACGGTGGTCGTGCCCATGGTCCCTCTGCCCGCCCGTCACTGCTCCTCCGATGCTACGGCTATTGTCTGCCCCCCCATGCACTCCCGACATGCTGCTGCTGGGCGAGGGCGGTGACAGATGAGGCGGCAGGTGCCACTTGGCCCCTGCACCCGACTCGCCATCGACACCTGACTCGCTGCCGTCCCTCTCATCCTGTTGGTGATGCTGATGCTGCCACAGGAGCTGATGGGTGTCCTGGTGCGGCAGGGCGTTTGGGTGGTGTGGGCCGAACGACCACATGGTGCCGTTGGCCTGCTGCTGTTGCTGTTGCTGGTGCTGCTGGGCGTGGCCCTTGTTGGTGGTGGATGGTGTCTGGTGGGCGTACACGGACGGCGAGGCGGGGTCGGTGATGCTGTCGTTGTTGCTGGGGGAGGTGCCGGGGTGCAGCATGGGGCTGAAGGGAAAGCAGAAGAGCGACTGCGACTCGTACCCGTTGGCCGGGTGTGTGTCTCCCCCGTCTGTCGACTGGTTGGTGGTGCCGCTGAGTGTGGCCGAGGCCACGTGCATCGGCCGGTAAGTCCCCGTCAGAGTGGGCTGCACCGTCATCCCCGGGGGCGGGCCCGTGACTACTGATCCTGACGACGATGTGGTGGTGGTGACGGCCTTCCTGCCTCCCTGCTGCTGATGCTGCTGGTACTGGTGGTGGTGCGATGGGCCTCTGCTGCTGCTGTGGCCGTGGCCTCCAGCGCCCCACGCACTGGGGGCAGGGTATTGGGTGTTGTCGTCAAGTAGTGGGGGTAGGGGGCTGGAGTGAGTGCGGCTCGGCTGCTGCTGGGTGTTGCTGTTGGGGTTGCTGGCCAGCATGCTGTAGAGGTTGTTCACGAGCTCGGGGCCCACCTTCATCGTCAGCGTGCCGCCCGATGCACCACTGCACACACAGGCAGACAGCAAGCAAGGGATACGATCCATCCATCCATCGATCCATCCAATAATGTGTATCTATCTATCGGTCGTTCGCGTACCTACTAGCCTCTTGGACCTTCTGTCTAAGCAGCTCCACGAACTCGCCAGTGCCGTTGACCGCCACGGGGGCATTGTCTTCCTCACCACTGAGCCCCATGCCTACGCCCACCGCCACCCCATCCCCCTCCTGCCCCTGCTCATAGTCCTCCACATAGCTGCTACCCTGCTGGCCGTCGTCCACATAGTCAGGCGGCATGTAGATGTCCACCTCGCCCGCCTGGTTGACGTACACCTCGCCCTCGTGTGCACACCTGGGGTACCCCTGCGATGGGGGCGGGGAGGCCGGGGACTCCCTGCCCTCGGTGGGATGGGTATACTGCTGCTGGCCATCACTGGCAGGCTGGTAGTCCGGGTATATGGGGGCTGCGGAGGCATACCCATCTCCCACACCCGCAACCGCACTCTCCTGACCCAGCCGCTGCTGCGTGCTCTCTACCTCCCCACCTCCCACACCACCCATCACCCCTCCCCCACCGCGACTGCGACCAGCCCCGGCTCCCTCTTTCCCGTTCTGGTGCCCGTAGTGCCCCGTCTGGCCCTGGCGGTGGCCATTGTTGTTGTCATCCTCATTGTCGTCTTCTACAGGTGCCATGGTTTCACTCATCGTGGCCGCGCGGGATGGGGAAGGTTTCAGCGGCGGGAAGCCGATCGCCGGCGTGGCGGCGGCTGTCGCGCCGTTGGTGGTGGTGCTGTGCAGGGTGGTGCCCCAAAGACTGCTGCCTTTTTGCTGCTGCTGCTGCTGGTGTGGGAGTTTGTGTGGCTGTGAGACCAGCGGGGGCGGGCCCGTGTTGATCTTGGGCTTGTGGGGCGCGAGTGTCTGTATCTGTGGGGGAGGGGGGCGTGGGCCCCCGAGGGAGGGGGTTGGCGATGGCGATGGGCTCTCGGGAGGGCGGTAGGGGGTGCGTGCGAAGGCGGCGGCCTCGGCGTGACGGAACTCCAACTCCGAATGCGCTGCACACACACAAAAAGGTGGAGGGAGGGAGACGAAGGGGCTGGTGTGCTGCTTTGTGGTTTGTGTGTAGGGGCGCTGACCGAACGGGCAGAAGTAGCGATGACAGTTGGGGTAGGTGGCACACGCCTTCTGCACACCGCAGAGCAACAGACAGCACAAAGAAGAAAGACATCAAGGGGGTCGCTGTGTCTGTCTGTCTGTGTGCGTGCGTGCGTGTGCGTGTGTACCGACCATTTTGTATGTGAGTGGGTGGTACAGCTGCTCCTCCTTCGTATGGGCATACTTGCACTGAACGAGGAAACGACAGACACACGTACACCCGTCGATGCATCCATCAATCCTTCTGGCCGTGTCTGTCGTGGTATGTGTATGTGTGTGTGGTATGTGTACTTTGCGTTTGTGGATGCACCGGTTGTTGAGGGCCATCTTGCCGTCCCGCTCCTTCGAGAAAGAGATGTTGGGACACAACTCAGGCCTGACACACACCACAACACACCACACCACAGGATGAATGCAGACGGCATCTTCCCATCCCTCCCTCCCAAGCCCCCTCCCTGTTCGTTAATGTACCAGTACGTCACCTGCAGAGGATTGCGCCTCTGCAGAAACACACACAAAACATCATTGTCATTTTGTGCAGTGCGTTGCGTGGTGATCTCTCCATGCAAAGACGGGTACCTGCCAGGCCAGGCAGTGGCTATCGGGGCATCTGTCCGGCCCCCGGTCGCAACGCCGCCGCTCCGCAAACAGCCTGCAGATCCGCGTGCGGAACACCGCCAACTCGTCCTCCGTCAGCATCTTATGCGCCGACTCTAGCTGCGAGCCCCCCTCCCTGTTGGTGCCATTGTGCGATGGCGATCCCCCACCGCCGTTGCCGTTCCCCCCATCCCTCTCCCTGTCCCTCTCCCTCTCCCGCCCCCTCGGGCCCCGATGCTTATCGTCTTCTCTCCGCCACGAAGGCGGGCTGTGGGTTTTGGGTGCGGTGAATGGGATAGATGTGAGGGCGGCGGACGACGGCTGGCCATTGAGGCGGCGGGGCTGTCCATCGCGGGGCCCGCCATCCCTCAGGATGCTGCGGTGGATGGACATGTCCTTGCTGGACCGGAGGGTGCCGCTGCCGCCGCTGCTGCTGTCGTTGGGATGCATCGGGGAGTGCGGCTGCATCCGGATGGTGGTCGTATGCGATGGGGTCAGCGGGTCATCTATGAACGGCACCTTGACAGTAGTATATCCGACGGATGGCCTTGGCCGCCTTGCTATGGTAGAGGAAGAGGTTGGAGCGATCCGATGGGCGTTGCTGATGTGCCAAGAAAGGGAACTAGCGAGGAAAGGGAGATCCTCGTAAATGCTGTTTTTCGGGAAGGTCTCTGCGTTTCTGAGGAGACACCCGTTTGCTCCAGCTGGTGCCGAGTGTTTGCAGATCCATCCATAATTCCATCGATCCATTATGCTACAGGCCTTTGTGGTCCTCCCTCCCCGTTTGCCTCCCTCCCTTGCAGCATTCATTGCATTCATTGTACACCCGCCTATCGTCAGTCAGCCATGCAGCGCAGCCACCCATTCCTTCTCGTAGGTATGTATATATGTAGGTGTCGACGTGCATGTGTATTTGTACAAGGACCGGCCCCTCAAAAAGCAAATGGATGGACAGCGTCGAAAACCGGTCAGCCACCCAAGCCAAGCCAAAACCCTCCCCCACGCCCTCCAAATACACACACAACCAACCAGCCATGCACGCAGCCAGTCAGCCATCCATCCATCCGTCCATCTTGATAAAACAATGTGACACACGACGAGCGGTCAATCATGCCATCCATCCATCCATCCATCCATATACACACATACAACGACAAGCAAGTCAGGGTCACTCACTCAGCCAGCCAGCCAGCCGTTCGGTCGGTCGGTCGGTCGGTCAGTCAGTAGTCCACCAATGGCTACCTACCCGCTACCCTATCTGTCACTTTATCTCTCTCATTCATGCGCTCTTCTTGAGGTGTGCCGGTGCCGAGCTCAGCTTCGCGCCCCCCTTCCCTCCCTTCTGCTGCGCCTTGTCCTCGCTCGTGATGACCGTCTGGGCCGCCACGCAGGGGTCCTTGGGCGCCACCACTACCAACCCCATCCCCATCCCCAGCCCCCCTTCCACCTCCTTGCCCGCCCCTGCCATGGCGCGTGTGGTCCGCACGGTCGACACCGTCGGGGCCGTCTGCTTGGTGCTCTTGGCGGCGACGATGGGCTCCGGCTCGCAGGGGAGGGGGTTCTCCCAGACCTTGCGGTTGTCCTTGTCCACCATGACCCACTTGTTGCCCTCCACCCGCAGGAAGTGGCCCGAGTGGCCGGCTATGTCGTCCCTCATGGGCTTGGTGAAGGAGGACACCTCGTCGGGCGAGGCGGGCGGGTCCCACCAGTCCTCCCTCTCGTCCATCGCCTCTCGCACCACACGCCTCTGCTCGGCCGCCTCGTGCGCCCGCTGCTGCCGCTTGTGGAGGTGGTCCAGCACAAAGTACACGGCCGCAATGGCGATGAAGACGCAGCGGACGACGCCAGTGAAGGTGCCCGGGTGTGCATATGGTGAGATGAGGTAGACGAAGTACTCGGCGGGGTCGCCCGTGCGGTCGTCTGTCGGGATGCGGGTGGCTGCGTAGTGCGTGTAGTAGAAGTTGTTCATGGGCTCGAGGATGAGGGCGTACACGGCCCACCAGATGATGAAGCGAGGGTTGTAGTAGTGGATGGGCAGGAGGGCCAGGAAGAACAAGGCGACGTAGAGGAAGTAGGAGCCGCGGCTCATGACGTGCAGCACCTTGTCGAAGCTCATGAGGACCGAGTCGGTCTTGCCAATGATGTTGTCCATCTTGTCGTTGAGCTGCCCCAGATTTTGGCCCTGCCGGCTGGCGAAGGCCTCCATGCCCTCCATGATCTTCTCGTCGCGTTTCTCATTGCTGGCCATGATCTTTTGCTCGCGCTCCTCATGGTGCCGGCGCAGCTGCTCCTCCCTGGCCATGCCGGCCTCCAGGGTCCTCTGGTGGTGCTGCTGGAACTCGTCGTACTGCTGCCGGGAGGTCTCGTGCATGTGCTGCAGGAACCTGGCCGAGTAGTCGAGGGCGAATGACATGCCCTGGAGGTTTTCGGCCAGCTCCCGCTGGTAGTTCTTGTGGGCGAGGAAGTAACACATGTTCTGGATCTGCCCCTCCATCTGCAGGAAGTTGCTCTTGTCGAGATTGTCCAGCTGCGTGCGGCACCGCGTGATAAGCGCCGCCTTGTCCTTCCCCTCCTGCAGGTTCGCGTCCCAGCACTCCTGCCTCATCAGATTCTGCCTGTGTCTGTCGTCAAGGTTGAAGCAGTGGAGGGCCCGAAACGTGAGCAGGTGCCGCGTGTTCCATGACATGTTCTTGCAGTCGACCGTCCTCATCCGCGCCACAAACTGGTTGAAGCACTCCCCCGTTTTCGACTGCGCCTCGGTAGTATCGCCCGGCCTAATGCGCTGGATCAGCTTCTCGAACTGCTGCTTGCCCGCCTCCATCGCCTCTTTCGCCCCGCCGCTGCCGCCCGCCAACTCGACGGCCGACTCCCAGTGGACAATCTCTCCACCAGATGGATCGGTGGACGGGCCCTCATCGGTGGTCGATGTGCCGTAGCAGCGGGCGGCGGCTAAGAAGGTCAGAACGACAGCCAAGAGCCGCATCGTCTTCAGAAAAGACAGGACGTCTTGTTGGCCTCGCTGTTCATGGCGTCATCATCTCAGCCTTCACACGCGATGCTCAAGACCGCCGAAAGGCCTCGGTAGGGTGGTTTTTGACGCCTGGGCGATGTGCGATCGGCAAACAAGCTCGCAATTGCAAGCTCACAAGTGTCACGAAGGCGTGCAGCACGGGACGGTGTGTGGCGAGAGCGTTTGCTGCAGGCAGCGAAAAGGAGGCGTATCTTGGCGTCACATGTGAATCAAGCGTGAGGCTGCTGCCAGAGTGACAGGGCAAACAGCGGCTGACCAGTGAAGAGGAGCATACGTGCCGGCGGCTCCTGAGCGAGTTGGGCTGAAGATCTCAGCCAGAGAAGCGCATCAGGTGCGAGCAGACAGGCACAGCCAGCAGTCGATGGTGCACTGACTGTTGTGCGTGGGCGCCAGGGGTCAGCCAGCCGGGGGAACCGTGTCAGTGGAGCAGCCAGGCAGTCAGAGGCCCGCGCCTGTGTCATGCGAGTGAATCGTTTTCTGCGTCTGAGACACACTGCACTTACCTGCTGCGTCTGTCTGTGCGTCTGTCTGTCTGCGTGTGTGTGTGTGTGTGTGTGCAGGGCAGGGAGGGGTGCATTCATTGCCCGTCCCAGATTGTGTGCGGACGGCCGATGATGAAGCTGTACACTAAGGTGTTCTTTCGGGCGGTCTTCAACACGGACTTCGGGGAGCGGGTGCGGGTCGTGGGCGACTCACCGCTGCTCGGTATGCTCGATGGATGGATGGATGTGTCTGTGTGTGTGTGTGTCATCCGCTGTCTGTGTGTTTGTTCTGTGTGGCAGGTTCGTGGGATCCCAAGAAGGGCCACGAGCTCAAGACCAGCGAAGAGCTGTAAGCACCGAGCCAGCCAGTCTATCTATCTGCTTCGTCGAGTCCATCCATCCACCGATGCATGTCATGTGTGTGGTGTGTGGTGTCTGTCAGGTTTCCATCATGGTTTTCGCTGGAGCCGATCTTGCTGCCGATAAAGGAGAAGGTGCAGTACAAGTATGTGATTGTCGACGAGACCGGCAAGCTCATCAACTGGGAGGAAATCGAAGACAACCGAGAACTCGTGCCCACCGGTGAGAGAGGGAGGGAGAAAGGGAGGGAGCAAGGCAGGCAACAGGAAGCGAAGCGAAGCGCGCAACCAGCGGTCTGTTGGCTGGCTGGCTTGTAGGTGTGGAGATGACTGTGGAGGACGACAATGGGCTGTATCGCGAGCAGACACAGAGCCATCTCGAGAGCTACTCGATGGCACTCGACGCAGAACAGGTGCACACACAAAGCACACACACACACACACGCACGCACGCACCAGATTCACCACACAAAGCACAGACACGTCAAGAATTTATCCGTGGACTCATTTCATTGGTGGCTGCAGCAACTGGTGACGGATTCCAAGCAGCGCGAGGACCAGGTGACGCAGGCGCGTGTGACGTACGTGCACCAGCAGGAGATGGACTCCATGATCGACGAGAACGACACCCTGCTCGTCGTCAGCTTCGAGCTGCCCGTCAAGGTCTCCAAGTCAGAGGACGGACAGTTCGTCGTCACCCCGGGAAAGGTCAGTCAGGGTCTGCCTATACGTCTGTGTGTGGATGGATGGGGTGGCTGGCTGCGTGTGGTGTGGTGTGGTGTGGTGTGGTGTGTGCAGACGGCTTTGTTGCCGACGTTGTATCAGCAGCGGAAGAAGACCAAGATCCCCGTCAAGACCATCGGGTGGCCGGGCATACACGTGGAGGACCCGAGAGATCAGGAGGAGGTCAGCAGTGAGTGCATCCATGGGTGTGGGGTGTGTGTTGGTGTCCATCCATATATTGCATTGTCTCGTGTGTGATGTGAGCAGATAGAGCGCTTGTTGGCAGACTACGACTGCCACCCGGTGTTTCCCCCCAAGAAGGAGCTGGACGAGTACCTGGCCTTCTGCCACAGATTCCTCTGGCCCCTATTCCACAACGTCGTCATACTCGACACGCAGTACAGTCACACACACACGCACACACACACACGCACACACATACACGTAGAGAGAGACTGTGTCTGAATGTGTTCACTGATGCCGTCCGTGTCTCCGCGCGTGTGTGTGGTGTCATTTCTTTCATTCTCAGTTCCCAGCAGCCGTTCAACAACGAGCAGTGGGGTCACTACCAGGCCATGAACCGCCTGTGGGCCGAGGCGGTCGTCAGGGTGGCGCACGAGACGGACCTCATTTGGGTGCACGACTACCACTTACTTGTCGCACCTCTGGTCAGTCAGTCAGCTGGGCTGCCTGGGCAACAAACACACCACGTCTACAAGTGATGGCATCAATCACGGTGTACCCTCTGTGCTGTGTGTGTGTAGTTTATCACCCGTCGTATTCGCAAAGCGAACGTGGGTCTCTTTCTGCACATCCCTTTCCCCTCGTCAGAGATATTCAGATGCCTCCCCGTCAGAGAAGAGGTCAGTCGACACAACACAACCCAAAACAACCCACACACACGTGACCGGACCGAGCTGAGCTCTGTAAACACGAATCCAATGTGTGTGTGTCATGGCCATGACTGACAGATCCTGCGTGGGATGTTGTGTGCGGATCTGATTGGATTTCACTTCTTTGAGTACGCCCGCCACTTCCTCGTCGCCTGCAAACGGCTACTCGGCATCGAACACCACTGCAGGTTGGCACATAGACACCCCACCACGTGACGCACCCACCGCACACACCCCACACCAACCACTGTGCACTCACTCACTCCGTCGTCCAATCAGGATGGGTGGGTTTCTGGGTCTTGAGTACGGCGGGCGCAGCGTGATGCTGCGCATCGGCCACGTGCACATCCAGTATGACGACCTCCGCACCATGATCGAGAGCTCTGACGAAATCAAAAGGATGACACAAGACATCAGGTCCGTCTCGCAAAGAAAGGACTGCATTAACACGCACAGTCAAGCTGGCGTCGTGTGGTGCATTTCTGTGTGTGTGTGTGTGTGTGTGTGAATGACGTTGACAGGTCCAAGTATGAGGGTCGTTACATCTTTGCGTCAGTGGATCGCTGCGAGAGGCTGGCGGGGCTGATCCTCAAGATGCGCGCCTTCCAGAACTTCCTCAACACCTACCCTTATGCACAGGGCAAGGTCGTCCTCATCCAGGTGATGAGCTCACTGAGCCAGCCACGATAGACATCACAGATGGACGGATGGATGGACGGCTGGGGGCGTGCAACCAACCATGAATGTGATGTGATGTGCAGTATGCCTATCCGACCATCTCTTACTGGGACGACACCTCGCGAATGCGGAGGGAGCTGACCAACATCGTCGACAAGATCAACACCGACTTCCAGGACCTTGACGAAGGACGGGGGGCGTCAGGTGAGTGGAGTGAGTGAGGTCAATCAACACACGCCAGCCACACCTGCCCACACACACCCCCACGCACAGCACAGCACAGGTGGATGAGATGAATGGCTGGCCTGCTATGCTCTCTCTTTGCCTGTCCTGTCAGGTCACACGTCTGAGTTCCACCACGTGGTGTTCCAGGTCAAGGAGGTGACGCGGGAGGAGAAATACGCACTCTTCCAGGCAGCTGACTGCCTGCTCGACACATCCATCAGGGACGGACTCAACCTGGTCAGCCAACCACACCACCACCACCACCACACACACATCATTGCGTCGATTCCCCTCCCCTCTCTCTCTCTGTGCTGTGTGTGTGTGTGCAGAACCCCTTCGAGTACATCTGTTGCCGCAAGGACGAGCCCGGTGCCATCATCCTGAGTGAGTTCACCGGCTGCAGTCGGGCGCTGGCGTCTGCGTTGCGGGTCAACCCCTGGAAGATCGAGAACGTCAGCGAGGCCATGGACCGCGCCATGAACTCCACCTTCGAGGAGTCGCGCGACAGGTTCCTGCGGGACCAAAACTACCTGCAGCACGGCTCCACACTCAGGGTACGATGGATGCACACACACGGACGGACGTGAGCAGGGAAGGGTCTAGAGAGAGGGAGGGAGGGAGAGAGGTGTTTGTGTTGTTGTGCAGTGGGCAGAGGAGTTCCTGCTCGACTTGCGTCGGAGCCGGAAGCGCGAGGACATGCTGTACGTGTCCTGGGGCTTCGGTGCGGGCTACAGGGTGCTCGGCATGGACCAGCACTTCAGGTACAGCCACGCCTTGCCGTGTGTGGTGTGCGGCACACACACTGCATGACGTCACGTCTGTCCATGTGTGTGTGTGTGTGTGAGTGAGTGCCTGCAGGCATCTGGAGGTGACCGAGGTGATCCAGGCGTTCCGGAAGGCCAAAAACCGCATCTTCTTCTTCGACCACGAGGGCACTCTCGCGCCGGACAGACGGCGGATCACAGCCATTCCGGGCGAGGTGAGTGACCAGGCAGAAATGCCCCTCCCAAATACACATCGACTCTCACTCGAACACGCGTGTCTGTCTGATTCTTTCTGCTTTAAATCAGAATCTGTTTTCTCAAGGCAGCGGTCCGTCCAAGGCGGTGCAGGCGTGTCTGCAGACTCTCTGCAAGGACCCCCGCAACACTGTGGTCATCCTCAGTGGACGAGACAAGGAGTCAATCGAGGCTTGGTTCGGAGGTAGGCCTGCCTGCCTGCCTTGAGTGCATTCATGGAATGGGGGCAGGCAGTTGCTCTCATCGGTTGGTCGTCTGTGTATGTGTGTGTGTGTGTGTCTGTGGCTAGGCATTGAGAACATTGGGTTGGCTGCGGAGCATGGCTTTTACTACAAGGTGCCCACCATCACCGGCAACCAATGGTATATACGCACCCACAGAGACACTGCCTGCCTGCCTGGTGTCTGTCTGCACGCGTCATGCGTGTATGTGTGTGTGTGTGTGTGTGTGCAGGTACTGCATGTCTCAGAACGTCGACTACACGTGGAAGCAGATCGCTGTCGAGCTCATGATGCAGTACGTCAAGCGCACACAAGGATCCTTCATCGAGAACAAGGTAGGTGCAGTGCACCTACTGGCCCATCAGTCAGTCTATCCGATGCATTGCACCCATGTGTCTCTCTCTCTTTCTGTCTCTCTGTGTTTGTGTGTTCAGGGCAGCGCACTGGTGTTCCAGTATCGTGACTCCGACCCCGATTTCGGCCAATGGCAGGCCAAGGAGCTCTCCAACTACCTCAGGCAGGGCCGCGGCCACGCACACACAGACATGCAGAGCTCACACACTCTCATTGGTTGTGGCGCACTGTTTGTGTCTTTTGTGGTGCTGTCCACTCACCTCATCAGTGAGCTGTTGTTCGGCTACCCCGTGTCAGTGATGACGGGCAAGGGCTATGTCGAGGTCAAACTCAGAGGCGTCAACAAGGTCAGTCAGACAAAGCCCGCCTGCCTGCCTGACACAGATCCGCGCTCCAGTGGCTCCAGTGGCGACAACACTCTTTTGTGTGGTATTTATTGCGTGTGGACCAATCCGTTCGGTTCAGGGTGTGGCGGTGCAGAAGGTGCTGTCGAAGCTGACCAAGATCAACGGCGAGGTCGACTTCATCCTCTGCATCGGAGACGACAGGTAGATAGACAACAAACACACAGCACAGCGCCCCTCCGTTCAAGGAACGGCGCCCCCCACATCTCTGCCTGTCTCCCTCTCTGTGGGCGCGTCTCCTCGCCTTCCTTCCTAGGTCTGACGAGGACATGTTCTCGGTGGTCAACAACCTGACCAGCCAGGACGAGGGCTCGGAGGACTTCCACATCGGCAGAACCACCTCACAAGACCCACACGTGCCACAGCGAAGAAGATCACAGGTACACACACACACGCACACGCACACGCACACACACATGCCCCTCATCCCATTCCCCCACACCCACATAAAGCACCCTGCTCTCTCTGTTGCCTGGCTGGCCTGACTGCAGGACCACTTTCGGCTCAAGGGCGGTCAGCGCACGCCGAGCGACGGGTTGAGCACCAAGCTGGGGTCGCCCAGCCCGGCAGTAGGTGTGCAGTCCAACTCCCCCTCCCTGCCGCACAGCAAGCCCCCTCCCTCGCCAATGCTCCCGCTGCCCGCATCTGCACAAGACGGAATAAGGGCAGACACCTCCGCTACCACACTCACGCCGGGAAAGGTGGGTGCCCTACGAGGGAGGGACGGATGGAGGCGCTGGTGGGTTTGCTTTGGTTGATGCGATGCATCCGTGAGGGTGTGGTGTTGTGTGTGCGGTGTGGTGTTTGGTAGGCTGCGGCTCAGACGACGTATTTCACGTGTACAGTGGGCAAGAAGCCATCGCACGCTCGGTCAGTGAGAAGAAAGATAGATGGATGCTTCTTTGGCTACGCTCTCCGTCCAGTCACTCCATGCGTGGGCGTCCATGTCTGTCTGTCTGTCTGTCTGCAGGTGTTATTTGAATGACACCGACGAGGTGTCCGAGCTCCTCGAAGCCCTCCAGCTCTTCACCACAAAGGTACCGTACCACCGCTCTCACCAAGACAGGCACACACCACACCCGGAAGAGAGCACTTCCTTCCCCCGTGTGTCTGTGTGTATGTCAACGTGCAGCACAACGTGGTAGGCTCCTCATCGACAGTGCCGTACCACATCTCCTACATGCAGGGCCACTCGCCCCGGCCCCTCGCCGCCGATGTCTTCTTCGGCGTCGAGGACGAGTCAGTCGAGAGGAAAGACAGCCTCTGATCGATCTGCAGATCTGATGTGTAGAGGGAAGCTCTGGCGGGGGTATAAGTGAGTGTAGAGGGCGGGGGAGGGGACAGGAGGGGATACCCGACAGACACTGGCTAATGCTTGTTGGGCTGGCAGGGTGAGGTGACAGGAAGGCAGGCAGGGAGGCAGGCAGGTCGCGCCGCGCCTCAGTGAGAGAGAGCCCTTTTATCGTCGGCGTGACACCATGAGACACACACCGCACAGCACAGCACACCACCCCTGACTGGTTTTTTGCGCGCGTCAACGGTGTCTGCACCTGCACCTACCCCCTCTCTCTCTCTCTGTCTCTGTCTGTCTGTCTGTCTATCTGCCGCAATTTTCTCGTTTGATCGAATCACATCTCGATGGATCGATGGCGGCCCCCACCCTTCCTCTGCCTGTCTCTCTGTCTGTCTCTCTCTGCCTGCGTGGCGCTCTCCCCTCTCTCTCTCTCTGTCTGTCTAAGTATGTTTCTGCTCGTCACGACCGACCATGCCATGCACACGTGGCTATTTGTAGCTCAGCAGCACGGCAGCAGGCAGGGCTGATGAATGAGGGAACGAACGAGTGAGGGCAGACAGATTTTTCGTGTCAGTGGTCTGCGTGGCGCGGCGTGGCTTCTCGCATTGCGCATTGCGTATTGCATGGTCGGCACACCGATTCCATGTTTCATTCGCTCTCGTACTCTTATATAGGCGCATCCATCCATGTGTGTGCACGGCCTGGTGTAGCGTGCCATGGGTTCAGCGGGCAGCAGCCAGTCCATCCATCCAGTTTCTCCCTCGCCCTGTGCCGTTCTTCTTTCCGATGACCCGACCTCCCCTCCCCTCCCCTCCCCTCCTCTCCCCTCTCGCTGACACGGGTCAAATGCACTATTTTTGTTCGATCGCCCTGCCTGTCTGCCTGGGGGGGGGTTGGGGGTTAAGAGGTGAGGGGCCATATGGTACACCCCCCCACCCCCATGCCATGTCTGTCATCCTTCCATTGACTTCTATCTGCCTATTTGTCCGCCCTCCTCCTGGCTGCCTGCCTGTCCGTCCGGGTGTGTGTGTGTGCTGTTCGTGCGCCATGGTGTGTGTTGTGTGTGTGAGGGAGTGAGGTGTCAGAGGGGTGTGGTGTGGGCTAGTCTGTCTGGTGGATGGACGTCACTTGGTTGTGTGTTGTGAGACTTAAGGCATACATGAATGAGATGGTGTGTGGGTGCGGTGGGTGCGTGCCTTCGTGACTCACTCCCTCACTCTGTCTGTGTGTGTGTGTGTGGACACTTGTATCTACCCACCGTCAAGGCGTTGTAAAGCAGCTTTGTCTGTCATTCGCCCTCGCCATCCATCGAGTCATCGAGTCAGTCACTGCACACACAGGTCCATCGGAGCCGCGAGCAGTCTGCCTCACCTGTCCGTCCACTGTACACTCCCACACGACCCGAAGCCCACACAAGCAAACGCTCTCTACACACCCCCCGAAGACTCATTCCCCCGTCGCTCATCTATTCTAGGCCACTGTCGTGACCCCCTGCGTCAGACAGGCCACATACTCCCGCCACATGAGCGTCCGCTCAGGAAACCGCAGCAGCCGCCGCAAGTAGTCGCTGATGAACTCAGGAGACGTCTGGTCCCGCCCCTCTGCCAACAGGTCATACGTCACCACGGCAGCCCCCCGGTCGATCTCTCTGTCCTCCGTCACATAGGGGTTGACGCGCGTCAGCATGCGGACCACGCTCTCGGGCGACGCCCATATGGGGCGGTCTGCCGTGCGCATCTGCAGCTGCCGCAGGCCGTCCATGTCGGAGGAGGCTTCTAAAGCCTGACGGTAGAGTTCCCCGACCAGCCTGGGGCGATCTTCGAGAGCCTCGTATGGGTAGCAGAAGGGGAGGTACGGCAGCAGCTCCACAAACTCGTCACGCGAGATGAACTCTGTCGGGGTGGCTCTCAGCTTGCGGCCCGCCTTGCCCTTCCTGAAGCTGCCGGGCGGCCGCGGCAGCTTCTTCTCCGCCCGACCCTCCTCATTCAGAAACCGGTTGAAGGGATTCCGCTCCTTTGAGTCCAGCCCGTGTGTCGCCACCCACGTCAGCAGCGCCTCCCTATCGAGCCCCTCGCCCTCGCCGGCGTCATCCGCCTCTCTCAGCATCCTCTTCATGTCGAAGAGCTTGAACCACGGCGCTCGGCAGAACGCGGTGGAGTCGGCGGGCATCTGCCACCCCCGCTCGTTGTCCTTGCGGCGGTTGTCGATTCGCCTGGCGTGTTTGAAGGTCATCTGCTGCATCTCCTTGGTCTGTGCGATGCCCCACGAGAAGCCGCCTGCCTGCTCGGCCAGGCGGCCGAAGACCTTGATCATGTCCATGTACTGAAAACCCGGCTCGACCGCCTGTCGAGGTCTGCTGTCTAGTCGACTTGGGAAGCGGCGAGTGGGTGAGCTGATCCTCCGAGTCGACGCAGCGATAGCCACGGAGGATGCTTCACCAGGCCGAATGGCTGGCGCCAGCAGCAAGCACCACAGCTGGAGAAGAAAGCGACGAAACGGTAATGAAGATTTCCTTCCCGCATGCGGTCTTGAGACCCAGGGAGTCGACAGAGGGTCACCGTGTGGTGCTGGATCTGACGTGCTGGCGTCGGCGGGCATGGGATCTGCTGAACAGTCGTCTGTGGACTCGCAACGGATCTCGATGAATGGAGCCCGTCACGGTCTGCACGCGGACAACGGGCACGCGATGACAGCCTCGCCTTGAGAGGAGATCAGCGATCCCCTGTTGACTGCGAGCTAAGAAGCAGAGATCTGCAGCCGCCAGGCTTCTCACGCTGTGTCCACGGCTGCGTCGGTGTAGGCTGTTGATTGCATTCATTGAGCATCATGACGACGTTTTTGCCGCTCAACGAGGACACGGACGGTCAGAAGGCCGCGGTGGGCATAGCCGACTGGCTGCTGGACAACTGCATCAAGCCGCGGCTGCCGACCGAGGAGGCCAACACCTTCTGGACCGAGTTCTCCGAGACCTTCAAGCAGCAGGACTTCATCCAGATCTTCCACCTGCTGCTCAAGTACGAGCCGCAGGTGTTCCAGACCATCACCCTCGCCGAAACCCCCGAGGCCAAGCTCAAGGCCCTCAAGGAATGCGAGGGGTTCTTCACCGTGCTCATGTCGATCCTGCTGCGGTTCGAGGATGAGGACGAGATCATGCGGTCCGCAGAGACCCTCGGCAAGGCCCTCTCCCGCGACACCGACACCCCCGACCTCCGGCTGCGTCTGCTGATGGCCCTATACAACATGTTCCAGCCGGCCTTTCCAGTGCGGTACCCCGTGTTTGTGTCGATAGTGCAGTACGCGGCCAAGGTGGAGCGGTTCGAGGTGCTGGTGCCGTACCTCAGCTGCCTGGAGGCCTGGATGGCCGACTGGAACCTCAAGCCCAAGCAGAGGAGGGCGCTGCACCAGGCCATCGGCAAGAACCTCAAGAAGGCAAACAGGGGCAATGTGGCCTTCAAACACATCAAGGAATTCCTCAAAGGTAGGTTTGTGAGGCAAGGGGCAGGTGCACATCCATTCCATGCATCCCTGCGTGTTTGGATGTGTTGTGTTGCATCGTGTGTGTTGCAGGTTACCAGGGTGAGAGTGAGTCCGAGTTGGACAAGGAGGAGGTGATCAGCGCGGCGATGGAGCTGTGCGAGGATGCCATCCGGCTGCCCTCCCTCATGTACTACGACTCCATCCTCTCACTGGATGCCGTCCGACACCTCCAGCACACCCCCTACAAGAAACTCGTCGAGCTCGTCGAGATCCTCACCGAGGGCGGCCTGCCGGAGCTCAAGGCCTTCTACGAAGCAAACGGCAAGCTCTTCCAGGAGCACGACATCAGCTTTGACGCGTGCGCCCGCAAGATCCGTCTGCTCTCCCTGACCTCCCTGGCGCTCGGCAAGAGTGAGCTCTCGCTGGACCTGATCGGCGAGACCCTCGACGTCCCTGCTGGTGAGGTGGAGAGCTGGGTGGTGACGGCCATCGGGCAGGGGCTGCTGGACGCGCGCATCGACCAGATGAGGCGGGTGGTGCTGATCAAGTCGGCCATGCAGCGGCAGTTCGGGCGGCCGCAGTGGGAGACGCTCAAGCAGCGCCTCGTGGCCTGGCAGAAGAACGTCGAGCAGCTCATGAGCGTGTGGGAGAGCACGAGACAGAAGAGGGGCGAGGCCATCGGCGAGATGACCAGCGGCATGCTCGCCAACGGCCACGGCGGGCGGGACAGCAGCAGTGATTTCAGACGATGATGCGATGGACAGGGGGTGGGGGTGTTCGGTTGTGCAATGCGATACGATGCGAGGTTGGTGTTTTGACGAGGGAGAAGCTGACTGACTGACTCACCCACCGGCAGGCTGCTGATTTGATCTATCGTCTTTTAAGCAAGCTGTCTGCCTGCCTATTACGTGTGTGTGCGCGTGGTGCATGAGACTTCCCTGTGCTGTGGATGTGATGTGGGCATCTGTCGTCCACTGAACTGAAGCAATCAATGCTGAGGATTCACGAGTGAGGTTCCTGCACTTAGCCTGCCTGCCCATCGACTCGACAAACACACACACGCAGGCAGGCCGAAAGACAGCCACTGTCCTTCCTATCTATTTCCTATCGTTCTACCGGTGCTGCCTGAGTTTCCTCTGCATCTGATCGAGTCTGTTCTCCAACTGCGTCACCTGAGACTGAAGCTGCTGCTTCGTCTCAGACAAACTCTACACACACCAACACAACCACAACCACACACACATGGCCAATCAATATTCACAACCACCCCCCACCCCCACCCACGCCAGCCCGTGCCCATTCTCCTTCGTGCTGACCGACCTCACCTCGAAGGACAGCAGCTCCGCCAGCAGTGTCTCCTTCTCTCTGGTTTTGGCCTCTGCCAGTCGCGCCTCCTCGCGGCTTCGCAACACGGCCTTGTTGAGGCTGCAGACCAGGGCCTCCTTCTCGCTCACTGAAGACGTCAGCTGCTGGTCGTACGCTCGCAGGACGGCCCTCTCGGTGGCAAAGAGCCTCTCGAGGTCGAGCAGCCGGTGCTCTACCGTGTGCAGGTCTGGCCAGGGTGGGGGGACACAGACAGAAGAGGTGTCTCCTTCCCTCCCTCTGTGTGTCTCTCTCTCTCTGTGTCTGTCTGTCTGTCTGGATGGATGGATGGATGTCGTGTGCATACCTTACCCCTGTTGAGTTGGAGCCTTCTCCGTGTGAGCATGTGTATCTCGGTGCCGATCAGGACGGCCTCGTGCTGCAGCGCCGCCTCCGCACTCATGCGCTCAAAGTGAAACCGCTGCTCCTACACACACACCACACACACACACACCACACACACACACACACACATATCGGCATTTGCAATGGGAGAGGGGCGGGGGGGGATCCACCTTGAGGATCCACTGCTGTTCCTCCGCGACGAGTTTGGACCTGAGTTGCTCGCTGGCCTCCTCGGCGGCCTCCACCTCGTGCAGCAACACTCGAATGTGCGACACCGCCTCGCGAGACGCTCCCGCCTCACTCTCGTGACGCAGCAACGCCTTCTTGCGCAGATGCACCTACACACCACACACAACACAACACAACACCCCAGTGGCTGGTTGGCTGGTTGGGCGTTCGTGTGTGTTGAATGGCATTTTTGCCTACGAGCTGGTCGCTGATCTCCTGTTGCTTGAGGGCCTTTTGGTAGCTGGCCCATGAGGGGCTGTGCAGGTGGTCGCCGCAGAGGACCAGCCGGTCCCTTATGCACCGCTGCTGAGTGCGGTGGAGGTGCTGCAGCTCCTCCAGCAACGACACGGCCTCCATCCCACGACGGCCATACAGCTGATATATCGAAGCAGGGAGGCGGGAGGCGTGTGAGTTGTGTCTCCGTGTGTGTGTGGCGCGTGCACAGAGATACCTCTTGCAGATGGCGGTGCAGCTCTTGTGGCGTCGGGCATGGATACGCCTGGTAAAGGAGGGAGGGGCGACACAGCCCGTCGGTCTGTCTGATAGCTTGGTTGTTTTGCGTGCTCACTGCTTTGACGTGCGTCTGCAGCAGCTCTCTGATGCTCTCACTGGGCACACCAGGCGGCCCCTCCATGCCCTCACCCTACACACACACACACACACATGCCGGTGACCTCCCCAGCCCCCACTCAGTGACCACCCACCCACCATGAGTGCCTTGACCAGCGGACCGTCCCCTCCTCCACGCAACACCTCGGCAACAACGTCACACCCCTCAGCAAACTCCACAACGAGCCCTCCACTGTCTGGTACATCGGCGAAGGCCGCGGCGCCCAGCAGGTGCAGCGACGACAGCAGGCGGGGCTTGCTCGACATGGCGGCGAGAGAGCCACCGGGGATGACAACCGACCTGCATGGCAAATGGACGAGTCACTGACGCCTTCATGTGTGTGTGGGAGGGGGGAGGAGAGGGGGATACCTTCTGATCGCGGCTTTGCGGTCCAGCAGGTCTGCTACCGTGCCTACAGCCACGGCACCGGATGAAGTATCTGAGACGAATGAGCACCACTGAGACAGTCAATATGTTGTCACTCCTGCCTGCCTGCCTGCCTGCCTGCCTGCGTCTCTGTCTGACCGATCTGCAGTGCCTGCATCATGTCGGATGCCTTGAGCAGCTCAGGCTGCGTCATGACCAACACACCCTGCCACACACCTGCGCGCCATCTCGTCCACACACATAAAATACGTCCACACACCGGGATGAATCTCACCCTAAGGCGCCGCACCTGTCAGTGCCGTGTCGAGCAGCCGCGCGATGCTGACGATGTCCACCCTGCCGTCCGTCGCAGAATGCTCCAGCCAACCTGCACACACACAAAGAAAGAACCACCACAGAAAGCTGCACACACCCTCAATCAAGCCAATGTCTCCGGTGCGCACGATGCGCTCACTCTGGCATTTGGTCCGTCGCTGCTGGTGGAGGGTCCCCACGTGTGTGTCGATGGCATCGATGACAGCCGTGACGGAGACCCTCCACTGCCCCCTGAAGTATGTCCGCCATATCTGCTGGAGGGCACCGCTGCAGAAGTAGTTCTCGGGGTCGAGGCCACGCAGCACTCTAGATAGAGACAAAGCAAAGAGACACACAGACGGCTGGGATGGATGGATGGATGGATGGATGGATGGATGGCTGGATGGAAAGATGGGCGTGTGACGTCGGCACTCACTCTGCAGGCTTGAGAGGTGGTGACTCCGAGACGGTGTAGTGGTCCAGCGCGCCGATGGACCTCACCGCCCACTGCAGCTGACCCGCTAGACGGCGCAAACCGATCAAACACGACTTCGTCACACACACACACACACACAAGCGAAGGGCGCGGCGAATGACACGCAGTGACGGCCGGCAGCAGAATCCTGCTTCTCACCTGCAGCTCCCTCTTGACGGGCAGGGCGTCCAGCAGCGCCTGCCGCTCCGTCGGGGCTTCTGGCTCGGGAGCACTGGCGCTGCACTGCTCGCCGATGCTCTGCCTGACCCGGGCAAACACTTCGAGGAAGGCCAGCAGGAGGAGCCGCACATTTCGCAGCGACTCCTCGATGGCACTCACAAACACCGACAGAGACGAACTCTGCACACACACAGACATACATACATACATACATACATACAGACAGACAGACAGACAGACAGACAGACAGACGGCGAGCTGACGTAATTGCACTGGATAGCGCCTTGCATGGCACACTCTCACCGGGGCGCCTTGGCTCCCCTCTGCATCGATCTCCACCACCTTGTCCACGAGCGGCAGCTTGGCCTCCAGCCGCCGCAGCACCGTCAGTGCTAGCCGGTGGGCGGGGCTGCCACAAAGCCGTGGATGCAGCTCCGGGAGCTGCTGAACGAGGCCAAGACACGAGCTGGTCAGATCAGCCAGAGACGATGTCGAGCTCATGATGGGATATATAAGGGGCAGTGAGGGGGAGAGGGGGAGGCGCTTGACCCAGCTAGATGCACTTAAGGTCACAATGGGGGGCAGCTGAATCGACCGAGACGCGCGTCCCGTGGGCGTCTTGGGGGCGTGATGTGCGAGCTGAGCTCGAGATGGATCCACTGGGGGAAGATCAATGGCCTCACACAGCCGGTAGAGTGTGACCACACCGACCCAGCTCAGATCTGACCAAAACCGGATCTCGGCGCACATCCATCCGCCGGGCAAAAAAGCGACTGGCCGGTAAGGGAGATGCAGGGCCACACGTGACGTGGGGCAGAGAGGAGCCGCCACACCCGCTACATGCACCTCTGATGCCACACCCATGCACACCCTCCTCCCTCCCCATGCACCCCACCTGAGTGCTTCCTTCCCACATGTCATGTCAGTCGTGTGTCCTGTCCTTCCCTCAGGTGATCAGATCAGATCCCGCCACTCACTCTACTCAGTCAGTCGCCAGCCACCAGCCGTCGTATCCTTGGTGTGATGGCGCGTTTCGACCCGTCGGTTCAGTACTGGGGCGACAGCGTGTCATGCTTCACCATAGTGCTGGACCCCTGCATCAGGACCAAGGCCGACCTCAAGCAGTGCATGGTCAGCCAACCCAGCGAGTACCCAGCCATACGAGTGTACGCCAAGCGGCGGGACAGTGGTGGCCAGCAGCCAATGCTGGTGGACGGGAGCAGCAGCAGCGGCGCGGGAGCCGCTGGCGGGGCCGGGAGTGGGGTGTCGGTCAAGGTCGTGGCGGCGCTGTTTGACAACTCGAGGTGGGCTGAGTGTGGGAGAATGGGGAGGCGGTGTCTCGTGTGTGTGTGTGTGTGTGTGTGTGTGTCAGTTTTGAGCCTTCCGAGGCCATCCAGACGGTCATGTCTGTGCTTCCAAACTGGGAGCGACAGTAAGCAGAACAAAAGCCAACGAGAGCATTGCACATCCCAACCTACCTTGTACACCACCCGTCGCGTGTCAGATTGGGCGAGAAGCTGAGCGCTGCCGAGGGCAAAGCGAATGGCGCGGCGGCACAGAACGGCACCATTTCCCACGTCCCCAGCGGAAGTAGGGAGCGGAGCAAACACGCCCCGCCCCCCACACCAACCTACACACACAGACAAGAATCCATCCGTTCATCTCTGTTTCTCCCGATTGATTTCAGTTGTGGGGTCGGTCCCTGCCCGTGCAGAGCAGCACGGCCAGCCGCAGGTAAACGGCCTTCCTGGTCCGCTGCCGCCCCCTCCCCCGCCCCCGCCACCCATCACCAAAGCACACACCCCCACAAGCAGACAGATCGACAAGGGCAGACCTCTTGGTGAGTGCGTGGGTGGGTGGGTGGGTGGGTGGACGGCCATCCACACAGCCACATATACGTTGATGGCGTCAGGTCCGCGTGACCAGTTGAAGCGTCACATGGAGTCGTTCCCGAGTCGGCCGCCCCAGGCCACACTCAAGGACCTCGTCGACTACATCTTTGCCGAGAACGTCGTGGGCCCGGACCAGCGCAAAATGATCACCGAGATCGTAACCTAAAATACTCGTCTCTGTCTGCCTGCCTGTGGTTTCACCTCTAGCAATCAAAAGCATTCCTCCTCCCCCCCTCCCTCCCTCCCTCCCTCCCTCCTTCCCATGTGTGTGTGTCTGTGCAATGTCATTCTTTCCATCCAGGTGCAGAAGTTCCTCCACGACGAGATCAAACACCAAGACGTCTACATGTATGTCAGCAGGAGGAGGACGGCACGGCACACAAGCAGCATAAACAAGACAGACCCACCCCTCCCTCTCCCTCCCTCTTGGCCTCCTCACTCAGGCACATCGGCAACGTGATAGGCGCGGATTTCCTGCAGTCGTGCATCCGTGTGGTCCACAAGAACATCAGGGACAAGATGACGGCCGGCGGTCACCACCCCCACGCACCACAACACGACGGCTACCCACCACCGGGCGGTAGCAGAGGCCTCACCAACGGAGTTGGCAGGAGGGTCAGTGAGGCAGGCTCTACTTTGGGGGCTTAGTGAATGGATGGACACCATACGCGATGGTTGTGTGTTCTGTGTGTGTGTGTGTGTGTGTGTAGGAGATGGATGCAAGGAACGTGCGCAGAGGTACACAGGAGCGAGCGGACTCAGTCACACGGTTCCAGCTGTCTCTACGCGTTGATTATGGTCATTCAGAGAACGTTGTTCTTCCCCGCGCCGGTGCGGCCCCCTCTCATGCGTCGGCGAACGGCGCCGTCAACGCCGGCCGAGGTCAGGCGGCTGACTGACACCCAATGCCCACACACAGCACTGACTGACACCGGTTGCTTCTGGCTGGCCTGGCTGTGCAGGCGCCCCCATGCCCAAGAGTCAGTGGGAGAAAACGTCGTGGATCCACGTAGACGCCATCAAGAAGAAGGTGAGTGAGTGACCACAGACTGACTGACTGGGAGGGGGAGGGAGGGAGGGAGGGGCCTCGTCACGTGAGCTGCATCATATCGTACGCAGAGCGTGTTGGGTCCGAACGCTGGTCACGCGATGCTCGTCAACCCCGAGAAGTTCGAAGCCTACTTCTTCGGCGGTATCCTTCCATCCAACCAACCATCCATCCATCCCCCACCTCTACCTCTCTCTCTCTCTCTCTCTCTCTCTCTCCCCTTGTCTGTCTATGTGTGTGGCTGCAGGCCAGGCCAAAGATGACGCCAGTTTCTCCAATCTGTGGGTGCTCGACCTGGTCGGCTCGGGTGGTCACAACTCACACATCACATTCAACACACACCACACGGCACCAACCACTCACTGCTGCACTCCATTGGTCTGTTACCATGTGTGTGTGTCTGTGTGTCTGTGTGTGTGTGTGTGTGTGCAGCGTACGTTCCGCTCCCGTCGTGTCGAGTGCGGCGGCGACCGGCCGCCCAACAGGTCGCTGCACACCGTCAACTACATCAGCAGACATGCCGCCGGACAGGTGAGCTGGGAGGGAACCAGCCTTGATGTGTCCATCAAGATGTGGGTGTGGGTGTCCTTCAGGTGCTGCTGTTCGGTGGCCTGGGTGACGATGGCAGATGTCTGAAAGACATACACTGCCTGGAACTGGCCGAGTTCCGGTGGGTACACACAGTCACAAATGTCACATGCACTGCACCGGTGTGTGTGTGTGTCAGGTGGACGTTGAAGCAGGCCTTCGGTTCGTCGCAGCCGTCGGCACGCTACGGACACACCGCTGCCGTCTGGCCGCCAGAGAGCGAAATACCTGGGGTGAGGGGAGGGGGGGGCCAGCCAAACACACTACACTGCCATGCCAGCTCAGCTCACATGGGGGTTGGTCCATGGGATTGTGTTGTGTGTACCATCCTCCGTCCCAGCGTGACAAGGACAGCGAGTTCCTCTTTGTCTTTGGGGGCCACTCGGCGTAGGTGTAGTACTGTACCCTCACACACACACACACACACACCCCACCTCATGTGTCTCTTCTCTCTGTGTGTGTCCATCCATCTAATCTAACCTAATCTGTGTGTGTGTGTGTACTATTCTCTCTCTCTGCCTGTCTGTCTGCAGCGTGAGTGAGCTGAATGACTTCTTCGCCTTCCACATCGAGTCGTCCACCTGGGTCAAGGTCGACACCGGCAGACAGACCTCAGGACCATCCAAGAGATTCGCACACAAATGGGTGATATAGAGCCAGCCAGCAGTGGGTGGGCGGGGCCACACACACACACACACACACAGAGACAAACACAAAGGTCGGTGTGTGTCTGTGCGTGCCATGCGCATGACAACAGGACTGGTCGGGCCTCAAGACCATCATTCTCTTCGGCGGCTGCTGTGGCCGGGCCGACGGCGGATCCGCGGCACTGCAGGGGTCAAACGAGACCTGGAAATTCGAGGTACGATGACCACACATCACATCAGCACCGCACCCATGGGCACCTTCCTTAACTGTCCAAACAGGTAGAAGCGGCGGAGCCCAACACTTTGGAGGTACGAGGAACGTGGAGCATCATCCCGACACGCGAGACCCCCGCCGGCAGATGGGGGCACGGCCTAGGATTCATGTCGCACGTCATCGAGAAAAAGGGGGTACGCACCGTACCTCACACGCCCATCGCCCTCTCTATCATCAACACAACACACACACGTGTGCGCGTGTGTGTGTATGTGTGTGTGTGTGTTGTGTGCCCCGGTCGCTATCTGTCTGTCACCAAACACACACACAGCGCAAGAACGTGGATCGTTGTCTGATCGTTGTGGGTGGCGAGAGCGAGGACCAGCAGCGGCGGAAGGCCGGCCACGGGGTGGTCGCGCTCAACCTCAAGACGAACCAATGGGAGAAGCTCGAACACGTCAGGACAGCACAGGACAGCCCCTTTTGCCTCCACCACCCACCGCACACACACACCGTGACATCCATCCACCCATATCTGTGTGTGTGTGTGTGTGTGTGTCCATGCGTCAATCAGATCACACCTGTGGCTGTGGGCGAGGGCGGCGCTGATGGCGCATCCTTCGCGCCGCGCAAGGACTTCGCCTTTCTCTTCTACGAAGCCAAGTGAGCCGAACAAGCCACAAGGACAGACCACACCCAGCAGCAGCGCCTCACACACACACACACACCACACCACTCGCAACCGTGGCTGGCTGGCTGTCGTGTGCATCAGCCCCTTCTGGAGCCCGGTTGAGAATGCGTCAGGTCTGCCGAAGGAGAAGATGGTGCCCGCACCGTGCATTCTGCTGCACGGGGGCACTGACACACGCAACACTGTAAGTGATGTGATCATGGAGGGAGCCGGGAGAGCGAGAGGAGAGAGAGGGGGGAGGGGAGGGGGTCAGGCTGTCCACACGTGCACCTCTATGCTCCACGTGTGTGTGTGTGTGTGTGTGTTGTTAGGTCCTCGGTGACACGTGGATTCTGTCTCTCGTTGGGCCAAACCCTCTCGACGTGAGTGAAGTGACCCCAAAGCGGCCGTATATATGCCTCGCCTCGTGTTACACGCTCCCATGTCCCTCCCTCCCATTTGTGTGCGCAGTTCTACGACAAGTCGATGCTGCACCGGCCGCCGCTGACGCCGCGACAGCCAGAGGCATCCCCCACTGAGGGCATGCCAGAGCCTGTGGTCGGTGAAGACACACAGAGCACAGCACTCACACAGGTGGACGAGCACAATATTGTTTGTGTGTGTGTGTGCCTGTCTGTCTGTCTTTGCAACCAGGACGACAGTCTGATTCAGCGTACGATCGTTGAGGCGCAGATGAGTGGGGGCAAGAGGCCCGTCGACTACACCGGATTCGACTGCACACCGAGTATGATGAGCCTGTGGGGACCATCTTCATGTCATGTGTGTCGGTCGTTGGTGTGGTGGATCCGATCCGCATGGCCTGTGTGTGTGTGCGAGTGGCCGGCAGGTTTGTTGTATTCCCTGACGACGATTCAGCGGTGGTTTCTGGGCGCAGTGGCGCACCTTGTGGATAACGCCATCACACACCGTAAGCACGCAGACCAGAGACACACCACACCGCGCCACATCCACATGCTCCCATGTCATTCTCTCGTGTGTGCGTGTGTGTGTGTGCGTGTGTGTGTGTGTGTGTGTGTCCTCCCTCGCTGGTCAGCCCCCGACCCGCATCGTTCTGAGCGGCTGCTCGAGATCCGTATCGAGCACAAGACTATACCCAACTCAGGCAAAACGTGTGTCAGCGGCCCAGGCCAACACATACACACACAAGACGTATGTGATGTGGTGTGTGGATGATTGTGTGCGCGTGTCTGTCTGTCTGTCTGTGAGGGTGTTTAGGGCGCTGCTGGTGTCTGACAACGGCTTTGGCATGGAGGAGTCGACTTTCCATCGGTGGGAAGCAGGAATCACCACACTGACATACACACACAGACAGACACGCCAGCCACGGCATCTAGATCTGCCCCTATCTATCTATCTATGTATCAGGTTTCTGCACTACTGGGGCGACCCATCGGACACCCCTGGCAAGAGCCACCAGTACGGCATGGGCTTCAAGATGGCCTTCGCGCGCATCGCCAGGAACTGCCTCGTCGTCACCAAAGCCAAACACACCATGAGTGAGTCAGGGAGTGAGGGAGAGAGACAGTGAGTGCCTGCACTGCACACACTATGGCACCGCACCCAGCCGACTACATAACGTTCTTGGTGTGTGCAGGTGTCGGCTTGCTCAGCCTGGAGCTGCTCGAGGAGGCTGGCGTGCGCAGAGGCATCGGCGCACCGGTATGCAGCCATACGAAGCGCGCCCCACAGCACCGTGTGTCTTGACACACGTGTGTGTGTATGTGTGTGGGTGGGTGGGTGTGGGTGTGCAGACGCTGAGCTGGAACCGCGCCACCCGCAGCCTGACGAGCGGCCGCGACGTCCGTCCGCACCAGAACCTGATTCTGCAGTACGGGCCGTGGCAAGACGCTCGACAGATCAGCGAAATGCTCGAGCAAATCCACGATGAAGG